CTAATCCCAATGAGTACTTTCAACTTAATCAATTTGAGTAAACAAAGCAATCTGAGCACAGTAAAACCCAATAAATGAAGAGAACTTAAACCAACTGAGTACTGTAAAGCTCATTAAGTTAAAGCAACTCAAACCGTTTGAGGAAACCAATTGCTACAAACCATTCAAGTTAAAAAAACTAATCTTTATGGGTACTGTGAACTTACTCCATTACAGTTGAAGTAATAAAGTATTTAATTAACTCATTACCTTCAACACTGAGTTCAAAACTTGTTTTAAATGCGTAGAATTAACCTTCAGTAAATTTTGAGTTAACTACACTCATTTCATTTGATAAAGTTGAGGGTTGTGTTTTACAGTGTATGTTTGAACGTACTGTGCTTGGAATGACTCCTGCAGACAACATCTTGTGTGACATATGAGCTAGCGATGACATACAGTAGGATGATGTGTAAACATGTAGTCTCAATTCTTAGGGGAATATTTTCATCCTATATGCTTTACACTTTGTTTCAAGGGCCAAGGGGAGGATGTAGACTCAGGAGAATGAAATAAAATTGTCTTAAGAAGTTTATGAACAAAACTGCACATGAAAGCTGCATATACTGTATTTGTGTGGTAAAACAAAATGTAATTTATGATGTAAATCTACACTGTAAAATCTCAAAGGTTAAGGCAACTCAGATCGTTTGAGGAAATCGATTGCAACAAATCATTTGAGTTAAAAAAAACTAATCTATATGAGGACTGTGAACTTACTCTATTTAAGTTGAAGCAATGAGGTATTTAATTAACTCATAACCTTCAACACTGAGTTAAAAAAAATGTATAGGAGTAAAATTAACTTTGAGTAAATTTTGAGTTAACAACACTCATTTCATTTGACAGAATTGACTGTTGGGGTTTACAATGTTTACATACCTTATCAAACATGTAAAAATCAAAGCGTACTCTGGCCTTCATGATATATGTGCAGAGTGTCTGTAAAAAAGTAATAATTTGGGTCAAGCCGCACTTGAGCATGATGCTTTTTTTCTCTTTCACTTGCAATCGTTCTGCACATAATGATTTGGATTCCCGCTGAGCTCTTCATCAGTGCTGGTTGAAATTCAAGATGTCTTTTTTCTTTTCTGTTCAAAGCTTTCGGTCACATTCACACTCTCGCCCAGTCCTCTGGCTTGTTTTAATTCACTCTGTCGCACCTTTTCACTCGCTCAGTTCAAATCAAAACTGACTTATGTTCTCTCCCTCACACACACACACACACACACACACACACACACACACACACACCCATCTCATAGGGTATGTTCTCCATATTTCTCCTTCACTCTCCTCTGCTTTTGTCTTTCCAATCCAGTAGTTTGCACGTATATGGAAAGGCGCCATGCATCTATTTTCTTCCTGTCAGGGGCACCAATCGTAGTCCTGGCATGATTAGTTCACTAGTTATGAATAAGTCATGAGGCAATGCATAAATATGTTCTAAGGAACATGGGATTCCATACTATGCAGCACATAGCGTGAGATGTTTTTGTGTAGTAACGTGATAGGAGACTCTGTGTTCACATCCATATCCTAAAAAAATCCAATCACAACTGCTGGGCATCCTTCACAAACTGTTGCATTGATTATTTCATTTTTGTATACACAGAAGAACATTTTGTGAAAAATATGCTGATATATTGATAATAATAATCTTTCTTGAGTATTACATGAGAAGATTTGAACATTTTCTGAAGGTCTTTACTGAAAACAGAAATCAAATATATAAATATAAATAATAGTAGTAATAATATTTTTTTTATTTCACATCACAGTTTAACACTCAAAAAATATATATTTTCTGCTTGTTCAAATTTTTTTATGCATAATGAGCTGAATCCACTCAATTTCTGAGATTTAATTTACAATAAAACTTGTAAAGTTAACTTGATCCATTTGTGTTGGGAGAAGATGAAGGAATTGTTTGAAACCCTGTGCTTTTTTACAGTGAATAAAGTACAGTAGAATTTTTTTTAAAACATTTTACAATATTTCTACTTTATTTTTATATTAATTCTTCCTTTGTGAAGATAATATATTGATTTCAAAGGCATTATAATAATTTTACTTTCCATCAAGCTGTTTGTGTATGTATAATATATGTATAATTTTAAAACAGCATATTTATAAAGCATATACAGTCGAAGACAGAATTATTAGCCCCCCTTTGAATTTTTTAATTTTTTTAATATTTCCCAAATGATGTTAAACAGAGCAAGAAAATTTTCACAGTATGTCTGATAATATTTTTCACTTTAAACTGTAAAGAAGTGTCTTGAAAAATATATAGTAACATTTTATTTACTGTCATCATGGCAAAGATAAAATAAATCAATTAGAAATGAGTAATTAAAACTATTATGTTTAGAAATGTTTAGAAAAAACATTTGCTCTGTCAAGCAGAAATTGAGGGGAAAAAAAACAGGGGGGCTAATAACTCTGACTTTAACTATATAAATTAATAAGGGGACGGCGGGCACACTTACACACTTTTTGGTTTTGGCTAAATAATGAACAAAGTAATGGGACAAACAATTTTTTTTACCAACAACACACAAGCCTCTTCAACAAATGAGCACTGATAGTATGATCACCGGACCTTCTGTGCAGTAATGCCAAAAGTGCCAGGAGTAGAATGTTACTATTTACCCCATCTGCAGGGCAAGTTGTAACAGACAGAGGGTTAGCTGTAACACATGCTTAAAAAGGCAGATTTCACACAATTAATTTAAATTCAGTTTACTTTAAATAGTATATTTCCTCAGACCTAACTCATATTTTTATATTCTACATAGCACAGCATGTTTATTTATTTATTTATTGAATAAACATATTTGGATTTATTTGCATTATTATCCACTATTATACAATGCATCTATTTGCATTATTATCAATAGTTTATTTTTTCTATAACAAATATTTTCTATAAAAAACATTTTTATATAAAAAGTTCTCAACATTGCACACAAAATTCAACAATTATTTAGTTTGTTTAATTGGTGTCTAACAGTGTGTGGCTTATTTGCTACACCCTGTTACAACTAACCCTGCTGTGTTGTGTTTTCCTTAAAACTGGCTAGCAGTAACTGTGTGTTTTTTATCTTTTAAAATAGTTCCATTTTGTAGCCTATAAGACAGTAATCACAACAATAAAAGATTTTATGTAATACTAAAATAATATTGAGTATAATAAAACATACTATTATCTTGAAAAAATGGTTTATCCTGTGTTTCTCATCCACATACGCACACCACTATATATATATAGTTGAAGTCAGAATTGTTAGCCCCCGTTTCTTTATTTTTTCCCCAATTTCTGTTTAACAGAGAACAGATTTTATTTCAACACATTTTTTAAACATAATAGTTTTAATAACTCATTTCTAATACCTGATTTGTTCTATCTGTGCCATGATGACAGTAAATAATATTTGACTAGATATTTTTCAAGACACTTCTATACAGCTTAAAGTGACATTTAAAGGCTTAACTTTAGGTTAACTAGGCAGGAAAGAGTAATTAGTTAAGTTATTGTATAATGATGGTTTTGTTCTGTAGACTATTTGACCTTAAAATGAATTTTTAAAAAATTAAAAACTGCTTTTGTTCTAGACAAAATAAAACAACTTTCTCCAGAAGGAAAATACTATCAGACATACTATATATATATATATATATATATATATATATATATATATATATATATATATACAGTTGAAGTCAGAATTATTAGCCCCCTTCAAATTTTTTTCTTCTTTTTAAAATATTTTCCAAATTATGTTTAACAGAGCAGGGGAGTTTTCATAGTATGTCTGATAATATTTTTTCTTCTGGAAAAAGTCTTATTTGTTTTATTTTGGCTTTTTTTAAACACCATTTTAGGGACAAAATTTTTAGCCCTTTTAAGCTATTTTTTTTCTCTATAGTCTACAGAACAAACCATCGTTATACAATAACTGGCCTAATTACCCTAACCTGCCTAGTTACCCGAATTAACATAGTTAAGCCTTTAAATTTCACTTTAAGCTGTATAGAAGTGTCTTGAAAAATATCTAGTAAAATATTGTTTACTGTCATCATGTCAAAGATAAAATAAATCCATTATTAGAAATTAGTTATTAAAACTATTATGTTTAGAAATGTGTTGAAGAAATCTGCTCTCTATTTAATAGAAATTGGGGAAAAAATAAACAAGTGGTCTAATAATTCAGGGGGGGGAGGGGGTGGCTAATAATTCTGACTTCAACTATATATATATATTTATATATATACAGTTCTATGTAGCAGATCTACAAAAATTGGCATAACACTGTTCATATTTTTTAAAATGACAACAAATCGTTTGAGGATTCAATGTAGCTTTAATTCATGGAATAAAATCACGTTTCATCCATAACAATCACAACCATCTTCTTTTTTTTTCCTCTGTTTTTTCTTCTGATATGCAGTTGTATCACGAATCCAATAAAAGCACAACACAGTCTTCAATCTTTTACCTTCACACTCTTTTGGTCCACCTGTTTTATGGTCCCTTTGACAAATCACTAGCCTTTGTAGCCTCATAAACTGCAGTTTTCCCCGCTGTGTTTCAACTGAAGTGTTTCAGGTAAAACTCATCTCAGCTTAATCCATGGTGAGACACATGCATACACACAATGAACTCTGGATTTGCCCACATGCGACAAGGTGCTGAGATGGAGAACACAAAAAGATCTTCTAGGCTTTGACGTTGGATGTGAAGCACAAACTGGTACTCCTGTGAACTTGAAGAAGATTGCAATCAATTCTTATCCACCGATTGCAAGCGTAGTGTGCTTTATAGTGACTGTGAAATCCCCCTGAACACATTCAGACAGTCTTTTAATATCCTCTGTGTATGGCATATTGCATTCCAAAATGGCATCCACAGTGTCTGAAAGCCGCATTAAACGTTTTATGGGAATATAGCCCATGGTTTAGCAGCTCAGGATTTTAATGAAGGCTCTGCGAAACTCGATGTTGAACGTGGTGTAGATGACGGGATTGAGAGCGCTGTTGACGTAGCCGAGCCAAGTGAAGGCGCTGTAGACCTCAGGAGGAATGTGACAAGCTCTGCAATGAGTGTTGAGGATGTGGGTCACAAAGAAAGGCAGCCAGCAAATAAGAAAAACACCTGCAAAACACAAACACACACAAATAGACAGGAATTATTTTAAAATGATAAAAGTTGCCGAGTACAATAGTGGGATTCTATAGAGATTCACCATCCAATTCTGATTCTGGAAGTTATATTCCAAAGTAATTTTCCAACCTTTTTTTCTATTTCTTCAGCTGCACGAACATATCTCTCCAACTTTACATTTTAACCAGAATTTGAGTTTCAATGCTGACAGTATGACAGTACTGCCATCTTAAAAATGATTCATTTTATTAGCAAAGTTAAATTTAACCTGAAAAAATCCTGAATGTTACACTGAAATGCCAGAATACAAAGAGCAATTATGAAGAGCTAACAGTTCTTATTCCAAAAAAGAGAGCATTCAAAATATTTTTGTTTGTTTATAACCTTTTGTTAAAGAAATGTCTTCAAAGTATATATGATGATGATGATAAAGAAGCCTTTATTTGTCACATATCCCATATTTAAGTACATTTAGGTAGAGGAAGGTGAAAAACAATCCCTCTCAGACTGACCTTGAAGTGGGGCAGTGTGAGATCAGGGGGAAAAAAGCCCCAGCAACCAGCCCATAAACACATAGACATAACATCACAACAGGGGATGGGAACAGGAGATGTGGATATAGTCTGATGAAGGTGACAGCCTTCTGGTGGATAAAAGTAAAGATCTGAGTGGGACTTATTTTTGAATCCCGCTCCCGCCCGCTCCCACCAGGTTTTAGTCCAAACCCAACCACTACCGCTTATATTCAGCATTAGTTGTCCCGCTGCCCGACACGCCCCATTTTCCACCTGCCGAGCCAGCAACAAACAAGCTAAACACAGCATCACGCTCTTTCATTCACACACATACACACACATAGACAGCAACAAACACAGCATCACGCTCTCTCATTCACACAAACATAGACAGCACGAAGCTCTCTCTCTCATTCACACACATACACACACACACACACACATAGACAGCAATAAACACAGCATCACGCTCTCTCATTCACACACATACACACACACATAGACAGCAACAAACAAAGTATCATGCTCTCTCATTCACACACATACATACTCGTACTCACTCGCTCGGGTGTCAGGAGCGATACTGTTAGCTCCCATTCAATTTACACCTGAGTTACCAACCGCTCCTGCGTTTTATTCAGAAATTTATTCCCGCGGAAACTATTTATATAATTATTATCAGAATTATTAGCCCCCCCCTGTTTATTTTTCCCCCAATTTCTGTTTAAGGAAGAGAAGATTTTTTTCAACACATTTAAAAACATAATAGTTTTAATAACTGATTTATTTTATCTTTGCCATGATGACAGTAAATAATATTTTACTAGATGTTTTTCAAAACAGAAAAATATACAGCTTAAAGTGATATTTAAAGGCTAAACTAGGTTAACTAAATGCAAAAATATTAAATGACAATAAAATCAATCATTTTTGTTCAATAGTGAGCCAACTATTATCTATTTGATTATCATTATTTATTTTGGGTTGTGCAATTTAATTCACAGAATTTACTAAATATGTTGTAGACTGTAAACTCATAGACTTTTTTGGTCACATCCATAACGCATGTTTATTTTCCTATGTGTTTATGAACATATGTGTTTATGAAAATTCTGTCATCTTTTACTCACTCTTTGCTTAAACACAAAAGAAGATGTTTTGAAAAATGTTGAAAACTGTCACAAGAAGGGACTGGAACCAGAGATGTAAGTATTACAACAGTTTATTAAGTAGGATGGCAGGATGTGAATGGATGATTAGATGGATTGGTGGAACCAGAGATATGATGCAGAGAAGCCAGGCACACATAATGACAGAATCAGGGATTGACAACAACCTGAGAAGAAACCAGAAGAAACCACACTAGGGAGGAGACATGCCAACAATGGAGATCACAAGGAACGAGAGAATTAAGTAAACTTGGAATATAGTAATAGACACTGCCTGTGCGGCGAGTGCAATAGTATTTAGCAACGAAGCCGGACACTGAGTGAAGCTTGGTGAGGGTATTTATGGTGCTGGAGTGAAGAGCAGGAATGGAGAGCAGGTGTATCCTGAAGCAGATTAGAATTAATGTGACCGTGATCGAAGGGATTGTGGGTGGAAGAACTTGGCCTGTCTGTGACCGTTGACTTCCATTGCTTTTGTTTTTCCTACTATGAAAGTGGTTACAGGTTTCAGCTTTCTTCAAAATATCTACTTTTGTGTTTAACAGAAGAAAGAATCTCTTAGAGGTTTGGAACCACTTGGGGTGAATAAATAGTAAAATATTAATTTTTAGGTGAACTGCTCCTTTATTTTGTTTTCTGAACACGGAATGGCATTCATTCATTCATTCATTCATTCATTCATTGTCCTTTGACTTTAGTTTTCCTTTATCTATCAGGGGTCGCCACAGCAGAATGAACCATCAACTAATCCAGTGCTATGGCCAATTTAGTTTATTCAATTCACCTATAGTGCATGTCTTTGGACTGTGGGGAAACCGGAGCACTCAAGAGGAAACCCACGCAAACACGGGGAGAACATGCAAACTCTACACAGATATGCCGACTGGCCCAGCCAGGACGTGAACTGAGCCACTGTGTCACCCCATGCAATGGCATAATGCTGAATAATCAATATCAATAATTAAATTATAAATAAAATTAACTTTCTGTTAAAAAATCTTGTCTCGTTCTCACAAACTTCAATTCAATTCAATTCAGCTTTATTTGTATAGCGCTTTTACAATGTAGATTGTGTCAAAGCAGCTTCACATAAATGGTCATAGTAACTGGAACAGTGTGGTTCAGGTTATCATTATCATGCATCGTCTCATGACACCCCTAATAAAAAAAATACAAATTTATTTTAAGCTGTTAAACACAATGTTTTTTTGAGTCTCTTTAAAATGACATAAACCTTCATTGGATTTGTAATTAAAAACTGTCTTTGGCACTTAAAATCCTCATGGAAAAATAGTCATTTGACAACCCTGTCCAATTGACTTGAACTGAGGCAGCTGAGCCACTCGCTTGATCCAGTGTGATTTAATTTCCTCCTCAATTAAGCAGACATCACACATTACCATCAACGTCATTTATCACTTTACGTGACTATGACTCATGGGTAAATAGTTGACTTTAAATGAGCCAAATTGTTGGGTTACTTGTTGCATAAAACTAGTATGTGACTGTACTTTGTAGGTGTTTAATGGCATTGAGTGTCCTCAGTTTTCCCCAGGTGGCCTCTTGAAGCCAATCTAACAAACTGTGGCACACGGCAGGCAGCGGCTCTGCAACCCACTTTCAAAATGTCAGATGAGAAACTAAGTGAATCACTGATTGGAAAAAAAGAAGAAATTGTATGATGGCATGTGCCCGGGTTGAAGGGAGGAGATGACAGGGCAACTAATATGAAGAAGAACAATTTTAGAGAAGTGCAGATAAAAAAAGATCACAAAATCAATTTGCTGTTAGCAATCAGTAAGAGCGCGAATTGCATAAATTACACCTCCCATTTCTTCTGCTGTCTTTCTCAATGTCCACGAAAACATCAGACACGAGAGAGCGATGGATAGCAGTGTTGATAATGACATGCATCCGAGGTCGATTTAATCAAGTCAGCGAAATGACTAAATAAAATGTGCCTCTGCCATCTTCACCTGGGATTTGATTATAGGATGTCTTGTTCGAAAGAGCTATTTTTGTGTCCAAAGTTGCTGGTGAAAATGTGGTAAATTGCCTAAAATATTTAAGAATAAAGCACTGTTTCCATCTAGTGTCTAGAAGCAAAGAAAAACGTAATTTTCCTGATATGAACGGACAAATAACTGGAAAAAAAGAGAAAGCCACTGTGGTATATTTTTGTATATATCTTACTTGTTTCTCAGATTAAGTAAATTATTAAATACATTTCAGAATGATTAAAACAATATTTAAAATTTTGTGTGACGGATTAAATGGTTAGTCTATTTATGTAATCGCTTGGCCGCTTCATGCAAAGTTAAGGGATTTTTTTTTAGCAACGTATAAATAATTGATTAAATATGTAGTTTATTCATGTCATTCTATTGAATAAAACAATTATCAGACTGATAATGTGTGTGTGTGTGTGTCTGTGTGTGTGTGTATATACAGTATATATTATTATTATAATACATGAACACGAGGAGAGCATGCAAACTCCACACAGAAATGCCAACTGGACCAGTTGGGACTCAAACCAGTGACCTTCTTGCTGTGAGGCGACAGTGCTAACCACTGAGCCACATTTTGTATTATAATAAAAATACAACTTTATGAAAGAAATGAAGTTTGTCAGATTATTAGAGACAGCTTTCGTCATACCAATCCAAAAATCTATGTGATGTGGGTACCTCATGTATCCCTGACCTTTATTGTAATGTACATAAAGACATCGGAATTTGCCAATAAATAAAATAAAAAAAACGCTAAGTAAGTTTAACTTGCAAATGATGATAACAAAGGGCTGTAGGCCAAAACAAGCTAGAATGCAAAGTGTGATATTTTTCATGTTCAGCGTAAATGTTGCATTATCTGTCTCAAAGTCACTTGTGTCATGATGCTCAGGGGGGAATAAATGAAATAAAAATGCAAATAGTGCATTGATGACATTGCCGTTGAATAACTAATTTTAACAATGTCAGCTAATGGGGTTTTCAGGCTTTAACCTCCATCTTTTCACTCCTGTACTAGTTTCATAATTACCTGAAGGAAAAGAGTGTTTTTGGTCCATGGATTTAATTATTAGTCCATATATTTTTATCATTCACCAGTATCACCAATATTTATATAGGTATCCAAAATATTTTGGTATTATATATACATATAATATAATATATATAATATATATTATATTATATATAATATATTATATATATATATATATATATATATAAAACACTTTTTTATTTAATTTATTAAGGACAATATATATATATATATTGTCCTCAATAAATTAAATAAAAAGTTTTTTATTTTCACCCAGAAAAAGTTGTTTTGGTACTTACAGATATCAACATCATTTTAAAATATTTGCTAAAGGCACCTTTAAGTGTTTAAGATTGCCTTTTGTGTAACAAAGAGTTACATGAACTTAAGAGACATACGAACAAGTTTTTTTAAAATATGTGTATTCAAAGTTTTGGTGTCACAAATCCTTTTACCACTCTAACGATCACTCAGTTTTACTTGTTTTTAAATTGAGTTTCAGGTCAAAATGGCCTAAGGGGTTAAAGGAGTGGTTTATACAAAAGTATTAACAGCAACAATATTGTACAACTAAAAGTATCAATGTTTTTAAAAAATGTATCTTGCATAGACCGCCCATACACTTCATAAGACCTCAATCTACTTGTCAGGAGCCACAGGGGTTCATTTTGATTTGCCTGTACTTGTTTTTGATTTATTTTTTATTTTTTTGGCCTGTATTTGGTTTTTTGTATCAGTAGCCACTGATTTAGTATTTACTGAATCTCCAAGAAGCACTGATAATGAAGCTTTCTATAATGTCCCAGCAGGCACACAACATCATAAGATGTTAATAGATTTAGGTTGTGATGTCAGGTGACTAAAATTAAATGTCTAGCTAGAATTCAAGGACAACCTCATTATGATGTCCAATAATGCTGTCAAATGATGTCGATATTTGGTTGATTTTAGGTTTTGTTTTAAACTGACCAAAATCCCATGTCATATTGACGTCAAATACTGACATTTATTTAACAGGTATAAGGCAACTAAAATCCAACATCTGATAGACGTCATAGTGGTAACATCCACACAATGTCAAGCTGTAACATCATTAGATGTTGATATTTGGTTGTTTTTAGATTGTGTTGAACAAAAGTCTTGAACTTCTGTCGACATTTGACACTGGCGTCGATCTGACGTTGGGTTCAACCCGATTTTCATTTCCACCCAAAATGCCACTTCCCCACAACGTCAGTGTACAATGTCAATTTGACGTCATGTTGACATCCTGTGTCTGCTGGGGTCTTAATTCCTTGGAAATCCAGTCTAATGTAAACAGTAATATGGACGATGGCCAGATATTAGTTTTTTATAATATATATATTTCATTAAATAACAAAAATAAATTGCAGTTGTAATACAGTTACTGTACCTAGAATTCTGGCCCAAGAGCGGTTTGTAATTGTGCCGTGTTGCTACAGGCTCTCATGGATATGCAACTGGAACTACTCTATATCCTGCCCTGTCTTCATCTTTTATTTCAAATTACATCACACATCAAACAAAAATGCACATTTCAAAGCACTTCACAGGATCTTCATATAAATGGCAAATTGTACTTTTTGGATGAACTATTATGGGATCAAATTCTCACTAAATGCATCACGGTTGGGGATCAAAAAAAGAAGCATGAATTGCATATAAAACTATAATGCGCAAAAATGAAAACTAAATGCAGAATAAGAAACACTGAGGTCACAAACCAAACATACTGTATGTGCAAATGAGAATCAAAATTAAAAATGTGTTCAGAATTACATTGCACAAAACTAAAATCTGTGTGCTTACAGTCTTTGCCTCCTTGCACGTTTTCACATTCTGTGTTTGCGTTTCCAAAATATCCAATTCAAGTTTCATTTAAAGAACACATGAAATCAAAACTAACCTTATGAATTTGTTAGCACGCATTGCTAGTTTTGTGGTCAACAATTCAATGTCATTACGAAAAAAAAATTATTGCCTTTCTAATCTTTAACTGAAATCTGAAAATGCACTTCATGCTTTTTTTACATTTTTCAGTTAAATGGTCGGATTAAATATGTCTTAGGTATTGGGAATGGTTAATATACGTAGCCCAGGAGCACCGCTGGCCCTATGGCAACAGTCTTGAAGACTATACGAGAAGGAAAGTTGGGGGTGTTTGAAGAGTTCTGGTTTGACAAAAAAAAGTGAGGAAAAAAAGAGCATGGGGAGGGATTGAGAGTGTCTTGGACAAAAGTGAAAAGCGGGGGGAGGAGTTGATGGTATCACGGATGAAAAGGAAGAGCAGAGGGAGGGGTTGATGATGTCACGGATGAAAGTAAAGAGCAGGACAGGGGTTAACAGTGTCACAGGTGAAATTGAAGAGCTGAGGGGGGGGGGGTTGACGGTGTCACAGTTGAAAGTAAAGAGCGGGGAGAGGGTTGGACGGTGACACGGATGAAAGTGAAAAGCAGGGGGAGGGGTTAACAGTGTCACAGGTGAAATTGAAGAGCGGGGGGTTGATGGTGTCTCAGGTGAAAATAAAGTGCGGGGGGAGGGGTTGACGTTGGCACGGATGAAAGTGAAGAGCAGGGGGAGGGGTTGATGATGTCACGGATGAAAGTGAAGAGCAGGGGGAGGGGTTGATGATGTCACGGATGAAAGTAAAGAGCGAGAGAAGGGTTAGCAGTGTCACAGGTAAAATTAAAGAACTGAGGGGGGTTGACGGTGTCACAGGTGAAAGTAAAGAGTGGGGGAGGGGTTGACGGTGGCATGGATGAAAGTGAAGAGCAGGGGAAGGTGTTAACAGTGTCACAGGTGAAAGTGAAGAGCAGGGGGAGGGGTTAACAGTGTCACAGGTGAAAGTGAAGAGCAGGGGGAGGGGTTAACAGTGTCACAGGTGAAAGTGAAGAGTAGGGGGAGAAGTTGATGGTGTCACTGGTGAAAGTGAAGAGCAGGGGGAGGGGTTAACAGTGTCACAGGTGAAATTGAAGAATGGGGGGGTTGACGGTTTCACAGGTTAAAGTGAATAGCAGGGAGAGGTGTTGACGGTGCCACGTATGAAAGTGAAGAGCAGGGGGAGAAGTTGATGCTGTCACTGGTGAAAGTGAAGAGCAGGGGAGGAGTTGACGTGACACAGGTGTAAGTGAAGAGCGGGGGAGGAGTTGACGGTGTCAAGCTATGGTCACACTAGAGTTTGTGTGTGCGAAATTTTGTCGTACGGCGCTGCAAAAAGGGGCAGGATTAAACAAGATGATTATACATTAAAAAAGCGAGCGCTAGCTCCATGTTTTAAATTTCTGTCCAGAGAGGTCATGTTTTGATCCTCGATTGGTCTCACGCATACAAGTGATGTGATTTCGCAGGACAGAGTTCACCAAGCTTGAACTTTGCACCGCAGCAGCAGTTTTTGGTCTGACACATTTGCGTGCATACGACTGGAAGTCTATGGGGAGAAAAGTCAAGTGTGACCGCAGCTTCACAGGTGATTGTGAAGAGCAGGGGAGGGGTTGACGGTGTCTCAGATGAAAGTGAAGAGCGGGGAAGGAGTTGACAGTGTCACGGATGAATGTAAAGAGCAGGGGAGGGGTTGACAATGTCACAGACAAAAGTGAAAAGCGGGGGAGGACTTTAACAGTGCAGGGGGAGGGGTTGATAGTGTCACGTAAGAAACTGAAGTGCAGGGGAGGGGTTGACAGTGTTGCAGACGAAAGTGACCATGCCCCATGACTACGCTGCTCCAACTGTCAGTTTTAACGTTAAACAGAAATGGTGAGCAGGAGGTGCCTGTTGTAATAGCTCTTCTCAAACCCTTTTCCTGATCTTTCTGAATGAAATGCCTTAACTACATCTATCACACTTTACTATCAAGCCTCGCCCGCTGTTTTCTCATTTAATAATCCATTTCTCTAAGAACTGGGTCACAATATGAAAAAAATTGTTGCATCTTTTGGTTTATATGGACTTTAAATCGGGCTTCAGTGTCATTATTGATCCACTAGTGTAGATTGACAGATGCTTCTCTAGCCAATCATACAAAGGGTGGGGTCTAGGTTACTCCAATGCAACGCAGTTGTTTCCAGGTGTTTCAGATAACATACACACCTTCAAATAAATGTTTTATTTCGCTTATTATTTTTTGATCTGCAACAGCAAAACATTTGGGGTTTTGATCTAATAAATGACCCCTTTAAAGAAGTAATTTCTCCATCACTAACCACAGAAATCAAATAGTGTAGCGAGTATCCACATTAGCATTTAAAGTCTCTCACCCAGAACGATGGCCAACATCTGCGTGGCTTTCTTCTCCTTGGAGTGCATACTTCTGCAGCGTGCCTGACTGGGGCAAACCATGGCGTGTGCGGCCCGGGGTGGCCGCAGGCTTGTGTGTGTGCGTCCGTTTGCCAACTTCTTCACCTCACAGCTCCTCACCGCCACCTGCTCCTCATCCCCACCCTCCTCTTCCTCGCGGTTTGCATCTTGTTCAGTGCGAGCAAAAGACGCTTGGCTGATGCTGCAGTAATTCAGCGTGATCACCGGAGGCAGCAACGAGTTCTCGGCAGGTGCTGTTTGAGGCCGTTTGCGCCTCAGACAGTTGGCTAGGAGCCGCGGACGGATCACCTGCTCCTTGCTTTCCTGAACAAGATAGAGAGATGAAATATAAGCATGCAAACTTTTTCATGCGTATTTATTCCGGCAAGCATGTCTGCTCTATAATTAATTAGCACAAGGACTCAAGCTGTCCTCATTTCCTCGAATAGAGTGATATCATCTCAAGGACTATTGAGTTTTTCTGTTGCAATTTGAAGCTGATTTCACACTTAAGTCTTGTATAGTTTCGGATTGCTGTTTTTGACTTTGCAGTTCTTTAGAAAAGGGCAATGAACGAGTAACCCTCTGGCTACTGACTAAACATTTGTTGTTTTTTCAGCCATATCTTATTAAAATCTCTCATGTGTAATTTCCTATAAGACAACCTTGCCATTGGATATAAAGAAATAATGAGAAGTAAAATGTTTTTTGAGCTACAAAAGGATTTTTAGAATAGCTAAAAAATAACATAATTTTACACTGGAAGAGCTTTCAGATTAGTGGTGCAATACAGACAAGCTCACTGGTCAAAATAAGAGAAATGTATTATTATTTTTTGTAAGCTTGTTTCTGCCAAAAGCAACACTTCACTTGTTGTTGTTGGTTTTTTTTTAAAGCTAATGTTACATCATTTTACACTGTTAAACAACTTTTGAATCCATTCAGCCAATATCCGGGTCTGCCGTAAGAACTTTTGGCTTATGCCTCATTTACATTAGCAGCGACTTTGTAGCTGCCTGTTCACTTTGGGTGGTGACCTGCTGCAAATGCAGGACTGTTTAGGTCTACAGCATGGAGAATATAACCAGCCTCTGAGCGAGCTGAGAGAGGATCACATGAGCTCTACTGCTGCTTCTATTGGCTTTCGCTCAAGAAAGACAACTTTGTCGCCAATGGGCGATGTTGCTTGCATAAACTGAGGTCGCTCAAAGTCGTTTACTCTCTGTTTAAATGGACGGCTGCTTGTTGCTATGCCACTGTGAGTCACTCGTAGTGTGCATGAGGCATTAGCTTAGAATAGATTATTAGCCTCTTGCAAGAAATGAGCAAAGAGTTTTAATAATTATTCCATTATATTGACCTTATTCTAAAATGCGGAAGTGCGCTCTTTTTTGACATTGTTTTAGAATTTTTGTTTCGGTTGCCTATGAAAGAAATGACTAGGAATAATAAATGGCAGACAACAATTAAACTATTTTCTCTACAAACAAGTGTGTCTGTGACTATACAGACGAAGCAGAATAATATAATAAAAAATATTAGTCTCAAGCCAAAAAGATTTAAATGGCTGACGGAAAATGAAAAATTGTAATTTTCTAGACAAATATAGAAACTATACTCTCATTCTGGCGTAATCAAGGAACATTGCTGCCATACAATACTGCAGGCACAATGATTTTACACCTGAGAATTGTTCATCCTAGTATGTAACTACAGATAAGTTTCAAAACTTAGATTATCAAAACCCTTTGGTAATTTTTACATGGGATGATCATGGTCTAATGCAATTCAGTGATCAATGTTTAGCTAAGCTAAAAGTGCACCCTCTAGATCCAGAGATCACCTAAATGAATTAAAAAATGGTAAAACTTAACTATTTATCTTTTTTTCAAAAAAGGGTGTTTCTATAATGACTCTTCAGGCTTTAGTGTTACATGATTCTTTACGATTGATTTTAATATGCTGACTTGCTGATCATATTAAACAAAGTACTATTTTATAATATTATTTTAGAATGAAATAAAAAGATTATTATTTAAAAAATAAATAATATTAAAACTGAACTTGTTACTCTACAGTTCAATGCAAGTATCTTGTAAAAAGTAAAAACTTTTTTTAGACAACCATTGTATAACAGTAGTACTCCCACTTTTAATGAATGAATGAATGAATGAATAAATTAATCAATTAATTTATTAATTAATTATTCTATTTTTTTAAATAGATAAGTACCCTAGGGATCAACAGTTGGGATTTACCATTTTTGAATCCATTCAGCCGATATCTGTGTCTGCAGGAAACACTTTTAGATTAGCTTAGCATAAACTATTGAATTGAACCGAATTGTTGCATTAGAACGTTAGCATATCATAAAAAGAATTCTGTGATTATTACACCAGATTTACATTATAGTTCAAATTCTATATTATAATTTTTAGTCAGTCTTAGTACACGATGTAATTACAAAAATATCAAGCTGTAACTAGTGGACAATTATCAATACACCTTTTTAAAATTTTTGAGCGATATGCTAATGGCCTAATCCAATTCATTGACTTTTACCAAGCTAAGCTAACAGTGCTTCCCCCAGACCCAGAGACTGGATGAATGAATTAAAAAATGCCAAAGCTAAACTGTTTAGGCGGCTTGTAAAAGGAGCCTTTAGCCTTTTCCCTAAATCTTAAATTAATCCATATCGCTTCTCTTTAAATCACAGCTCTGATCCAAAGCCTCATCCAACAGCTACACTATAGACATGTCCTACGGCTCCTTAGTACTGAAGCTTGTTACTCCAAAGTTACGTTTGAAGTGACTGTCGTGGAAAGAGAGATCACCAGTGAGAGAAGTGGAGTACCAGCCAGAGCCGTGCGTCAGAGCCACATATACAGCCACAGGGATAAGAAACACACCCGCTATGCTAAAATAGAAAGCTGCCAGCTATCTCAAAATACCTTGTAAGATTTCTTTACAGAGTCTGTTCCTCCGAGAAGACTAATTTCATGCAAGATTAGAGTAGTCACACGCATTTCTATACACGCATGCAGACGCCCAATGGCATACGCACAGTTATCACATTGATCCTGATGGGGGAAAGGTCTCTTTTCTCTTTGTGTGCGTCGTCTTGTAAACACATCTCCTGTGGAGAGATCTTAAAGAGTCAAAGGGTGGAAAACAAAAGCAATGCAGAAGCATGTAAAGCAAATTTCTGTAGCCAGAAAAACGGGAGGGGAGCACAGCCTTTTAAAATGTAAAAGACAGGGAAATCAAGACAAGGAAAAGAAGTTTCACTCATGCTCACTGGCATTGCATATAGAAATCTGATATAAGGAAATTACATATATGACATTCAAGTTCATATTTGCATTTCACAAACATAAAATACCCTCACCGGCCACTTTATTAGGTACTACTGTCCAATTGCTTGTTAACACAAATTTCTAACCAGCCAATCACATCTGCCATGCCAACTTAATGCATTTAGGCATGTAGACATGGTCAAGGCGATCTGCTGCAGTTCAAACCGAGCATCAGTATGGGGAAGAAAGGTGATTTAAGTGACTTTGAACATGGTATGGATGTTAGTGCCAGATGGGCTGATCTGAGTATTTTAGAAACTGCTGGGATTTTCAATCATAGCCATCTCTAGAGTTTATAGAGAATGATCACACCGGATGCCACTCCTGTCAGCTAAGAACAGGAAACTGAGACTACAATTCACACAGGCTCACCAAAATTAGACAATAGAAGATTGTAAAAACATTGTCTGGTCTGATGAGTCTCCATTTCTGCTGCGACATTCAGATAGTAGGGTCAGAATTTGGCATTAACAACATGAAAGCATGGATCCATCCTGCCTTGTATTAACTGTTCAGGTTGGTGGTTGTAATGGTGTGGGGTATATTTCTTGGCACACTTTGGGCCCATTGGTACCAACTGAGCATTGTGCAAATGCTAGAGCCTACCTGAGTATTGTTACTAACCATGTGCATCTCTTTTTGACCACAGTGTACCTATCTTCTGATGGCTACTTCCAGCAGGATAACGGGCCATGTCATAAAGCGTGAATCATCTTAGACTGGTTTCTTGAACATGACAATGAGTTGACATGAAATGGCCACCACATACTCAAACCAATAGAGCACATTTGGGATGGGATGGAATAGGAGATTCACATCATGGATGTACGCTCGACAAATCAGCAGCAGCTGCGGGATGCTTTAATGTCAATATGGACCAAAATATGGACTTCAGGAATGTTTCCAGTACGTTGTTGAATCTATGCCACAAAGGATTAAAGCAGTTCTGAAGACAAAAAAGGGTCCAACCTTGTACTAGTAAGGTGTACCAAATAAAATGGCCGGTGCGTGTATATGTCACTATATATTTCAAAATATAGCAAACATATCTATTTACATCAAAACATTTTCAACTATTGCAAATGCAAACATGTACATATATGTTAAATTTTTTTGGATATTACTGGTTAACATTTGAAATGGATCAAATGTTTGATTAAAGTTGTCCCTAAACTATTAAACATTACCTATTCTTGTCTTAGGACAATTAAAAAAACCTTTGCTATCTATTGTATATATGATCATATTTGACACACATATAAAATTAACATTAACATTTGTAGTGGGCTACAATTGTTGGGAAAAAATTATATGTGTAAATGAACATTTTAGCTGTGTTTTGTCATATTTTATTCACGTGAAATCCAAGTAGGAACTTATCATGTATGTAATTTGTATAAATAATGCCATATATCAGATTTCTATATGTGAGGGATCATTAGCCCATTTAAATTAGAATTAAAATTAGCATTAAGAAACCTAATTAACCTTAATGTTAACATAATTAATGATAATCAGGCCAGTCTGTATCTTCATCATCTATTATGACTTTAAGGCACTTTAGGTTTGCTAAAGATAATTAAAAAAACACAAGAAACCCTGATATACAGTGGAGATCAATATTGAAGAACAGCCTACTGTTTCTTACATTTTGAGGTCACTGCTTAGTCACATTTGACGTTATCCTAACAGGAGTAACAAAAAGTTTTACTTTATTTTTTACATTGGTCATGCACACAGCTTTACAGGAGAAGAATCCATAAAATAATTTCCACCCTTGGTAGCATTTTTGCAAAATAAGTTGTGACCTAGAAGCAAGATTTTGGGAAAAGTAATATTGTTAATATTGTTACATCCAAATCATTTTTTGAACCATGGATCAGGCCCGGATTGGCTAATCGGGAGGACCGGGAGAATTCCCGGTGGGCCGGTCCGTTTTTTGGCCGCGAGGGCCGGTGTCCCTAGCTCTAGAATCTGTTGCTCTCAGCAGTCACACTTTTTAAATTAATTTATTTATTTACTTGACCACAGTCTTCTTATTTAATTATTATTTTTATGAGTGATAATATGAGTCACCTTTCACTACACAACTGTTGTGGTCCAGTGGTTGGCTCGTTATATTACAACGCCGCCGACCTGGGTTGGATCCTCGTCTGAGTATGTTATTATTTTCATTTTTTTTGTTGAGACATAATACTGTTTGGGTTGTTAAACATTTGAAGTTCTAAAGCAGCTGTTTTCTCAAAAAAGACGTGATAGTGTAATTAGAAACTAAATTGGAAATGACCTTATTTTAATATAGTCAGTCGTGAACTGAGGTGGGCCGGTCTGAGGCTTGAAACTCCAGGGCTGAAAAGGAGTCCCACTCCAGCCCTGCCATGGTTGGATGTAACAATATTACTTTTCCCAAAATCTTGCTTCTAGGTCACAACTTATTTTGCAAAAATGCTACCAAGGGTGGAAATTATTTTATGGTTTCTTCTCCTGTAAAGCTGTGTGCATGACCAATGCTCCGCAACAGAGTTACACAGGATTTGGCTGAGAATAAATTATAAAAAGTGGGGTTTTGATTGTGAGTGGAAGCTGATTTATTCAGCCCATTCTCATGTAAGATTTAAATACTTCCACTGACCCTTCCCACAACCCACCCCCACCAACACCCCTTTTGTGAGTTATTTAGAATCCATAACTTTTATATTTCCATGGCAACATGCCTGGTTAATGACATGACACGCTGCAGCCCCATGCACTGCAGTAAAAATTATAGCTCCTAGATTTACAACATGTTAATTGATGAACTTCTTTAGTACATTAGCAGTTAACTGGGAGAAGAATTGAGTTAACATTCTAGTTAACTAGTTGTCCTGTGATAGAAAAGCGATGACCTGTGGGCCTAGTGATCTTGATCGTTGTCTTGTGGTCACAAATGCTCTAAGTCATTCAAAACACTACCTTTTCTACTCGTTTTTGACAGCTATTGTTACCCCACCGGTCCTACACCAGCCAACTTGCTCCGAAATGGGATAAAACCAGCGATTCTTTGTATGGGAATCTGTTGCTCTAACAATGAGGCTAAAGACCTTGGCCTCTAGTGTCTGTCGCTAGAGCAGGTCAGAAGAGTGAGCGTTACCTGCACAGCATTTCACTAGCTGGCCTCCACTACACACAGCTCCCAAAACTTACTCCCATCAAGGTCACAGCACCAATGTAACCTCGCTGGTCCTATATCACCCAACCCACTACGAGCTGGGATAAACCGGCGATTCGTTGTATGGGAGTCGGTTGCTCTAACAAGGAGGCTAAAGATCTTGGCCTCTAGCGTTTGTTAGCAACCTTTAGAGGTCAGAGGACTGAAGTTTACCTGTACACCATTTCATCAGCTGGTCTCCGCTACACTATAACCTTCAGAATTTGTAGCTGTAATCTTTGTTTGTACTATACTCATTACTGTTTTCTAATTCTGATCACATTTTTCACAACATAGTTTTTCTGTTGTTGTTGAATGACCTTGGTTATTTTGTAAAGCACTGTTCTACTATTACATTCCCTATTAAAATTCTGTCAAACTTTAAAGATCACATTTTTTTAAATCATGCATTTATAAATTGGCCACTAATTTTGATCCCTATTGCATTTTATTTATAATATTATTATAATTATATTATATGTCCATTGCTACAAATATTTTTATTAGTTTCAGTTGTAGTTTTCCCTATAGTAAAATTATACTGTAAGACTATAAGTCATCTTATATTTTCATCATTAATATAAACAATATATTATTATTTTTTAAAGTGTTCATCGGCAGTTGACAAAGATGGGGGTGAGTAAACGATGACAGAATGTTCATTTCTTTTAAACGAAATGAAATTCAAATAGGGTGTAAAATCAATCAAGTTATATAAACCAATTTACAGCTCAAATACTGTGCCTTTCTGTGCTTGGAGATCATTTGATTTATTAAAATGAGATAGGATAGGGGAAAAGGGAGAATAACACTCTTTGTAACAGCAAGAAAAAATATTCAGGGCAGCCTACAAAGCCTCTTCTCCATATCAAATTTTGCTCCAGTTAGCTGGAACTAAATCTTGCAATAAAATTCCTAGGGCGCGTAGCAGAATGGCTTTGCTGGAACTTTTCCAACGGCCAGACTTGTGCATCTCACTTTCACATAATACAAAGGCTGATCGAGAATGTTGTTTCACTGAATAAAACAACCCACTGATGTTTCCCAACAAAGACAGACCGAATTCCAGTCTTCTTTGAATTTAATACTGAGTTTCGATCCAAGATGGCCTACAAATGGTCCAAGTCGGAGCTAAAAAGCATTTCTAATCTATTCTTACCACCGGTAACAGATACTTCTAATCATTATGCACAGTTACTGGTGGATAATGTGTGTTTTAAGCAGAGCAATGAATCCAAAACAGGTTGAGGAAATGGTGAAATGTGAGAATATCGACTCTTACCACTGATGGTGGAGCGGATGCTGGCTGAACTTTGCCACTGCCTTGGCGGAAGGTGATTTTCTTCCTCCTCCTTCTGAGAAAGATGTAAATGCGCACATAGACCAGAAGGGTCACTGCAAACGGCAAGTAAAACGACACCACGGAGGAGTAGATAACAAAATCAGGGTTCGAAATTGAGCACACCGCAGGGTCATCTGCAAAGAAACATACATGCAACATGTGATTTATTGTAGATAACTTTTGCATTTGTTGACATTCTTTCGTATGCTAAAAGGAGTAATTAAGATTCAAAATCTCACATATGAGGTAATAAATAAGTGTGGATATATGTAATGATGCCAGCTGTGTCGTATGCATGATCAATACTCTTATCTGCGACATATAAAATTGTTTCTGCAGTAATTACATCCTCAAAGTCCTTCTGCAGTACATGCAGCCAAAGCAGAACAAATCACACGCATATCTAGGAGGCCTGTGTTTGTGTGAGAGAGATGACATTCATTATGTCTCACCGTGAAAGTAATTAACTGATTACTCTAATTAAACGGATGGTTAATTCTGTTGCAAACTAATTTAGCAACATCTGATGGAGGCTTACTGAAAGCTATATAGCTATTAAAATTAACCCTCAAGATAAATACTTTAGTGCTCTATTGTGTTTTGAAATGACATGTTTGAGGAAGCTTTTCTGACTGTGTAGCTTAGCGAGCTACACGTAATGTACAGTCAGGCTATCTTTTAAAAAATGTTACAAGCTACTAGTGACAAGTTGATAACCACATTAAAGATATTTATTTATTTATTTCAGGGTACGTTAACGTTGACATTTGTTGTTTTTGAAAAGTCTTTCATACAAACACAATGTTTTTTAGACAATTCTGATTTACACAGATCCATAAAACAACTAAAAACGCTGTGCCAGGCCAGTAGATGGCGATGTTGCTAATCATTGTGACAACCCAGGCTCATCCTGAAATCATAGCGTTATATATACATTTCTGGAGAGCGCCAAATATGTATTAGGAGCTGTTTTTGGCAGTTTTTGTTTTCATGATTCCACCGAGGCCGCAGTGTATGTTTCTTAAATCTCAAATTTCTCACCTGAGTGCCATTCATGCCTACTGTTCTCGCGTAAATCATATATGGCGGTTGTCGAATGACTGAATGACTGACTAATCGACTGACCCACCGTCCTTCTTCCCTAAACCCAACTAATAGTGTTTTCAAAAGCACCGAATGACATGCCCACCCACTACCCTAAACACAACTGAAAATATTCAAAAGAAATCCAGAAAAAGAAAAGCAGATTTTTACCACGTTTTTAGATTATACTACATTCTCACCCTGTTATTTTCATGTTTATTTCATTTTTTGGCTTCTGTTTTTGTTTTACCCGCTTTCTGGAACCGGTCTTCACTCAACTCAAATCCTGTCATCATGGTCAACTCCTCTCTGCGTTTCAAGTACATGGCAAGCTAACTGGACAAACTGGTAACCGCGGAAAAGCCGTCCATACAGAGGTAAGAGGTCAGTTGTTAAGCTCGAAAAGGAACGGCATCATAATGCCTCGTAGCATTCGTTTTAAAGACCAAATGCAGCAATACGTACTTCGGGCTACATAATTTGTGATCTCCAGAAATGTACAGTATATAGGGCTACATTTTAACATGCCATTTTTACAGAATGCTTTTTTGTTGTTTACATAGAGACAATAACAATATAGTTTTAAAAAATGTTTGAAACTCGTTTTCAGACTTCAAAAACCCAGCTGTCATTTATGGTGAAAATGGAAAAAAATACTGGTGACTCATCATGTACTACAAAAATTTTTGTCCAATCAAATGCTCTCTAGAATAACAATGTTCCACCTCTAAACAAACTTCAGTTGCACACCATGTTAATGGGTGTAACTAAATTCTAATTTTTATCAACTATTTGTAATTTCATTTTTAGTGTTTCTGATTATTACATCTTTTTTTTTGTATTTGGTAATAAAACCAAAAGGATCTCAATCAAATTAACATCATTAAATTGACTTAAAATTCAGTTATAAATGACCCTTTTGTTGTTCTTCTGTTTGAAACACAGCACAGGCATGCTTCTTAATTTGTGTTTTAAGGACAAACGAAGGTTGAAGTTTGGAATGACATGAGGATGAGTAATTGACCACAGTTTAACAAGACTGTCAATATTTAGCTAATATGAACCCTTGTGTATTGTTGAGAATGTTTTCTTCCACTCTGGGGTGATTTTAAGTCTTAATTTGGCCACATTTTTTCTGTTTTTAGCTAGCAGAGGTATGTTTGGTGACAAATCTTATTTTGACACATATTTTGAGAAAATGCTTTGATTTACGAAAAAAAAACTACGATACACTCTGGGCAAATTTATACCCTTTTGTTTTGTTCGGGACAGAAAATTAAACTGCTGTAAAAATGCAACAGATAAATATTTTTTATTTCTTTTGCATAAATCTGTTAATCAACCTCAGTCAATCAACCTACTAAATTTCTTAGAAAATTACAGGATTTTAACTCTTTAATTGACAAATTCATAAATTATGTCACTGATTTGGTGAAAAAAATGCTGAAAAATGACGTATGTTAAAATAAAAAGTAATTTTTAAAGTCATTTTTTATTGCAAAACTATGACACCATATAATCATGCATTTTTGATTGTTGGTGATTTTCCCTGTTTGGAAGAGGTTACATTAGTAATTTTTAATGTTTTCATCACTTGGCACCATTAACCCTTTAGATAGGCCTGTGCAAGCTTAGATTTAGTATGGAGTATAACAGCAAATGAAAATGTTTGTCTGTGAATGCGTGAGAGCATGAGAATGTGAGAGTAACCTTTACACGTTTCCCCTGATGTGTCTGAGAAAATCAAAATGTGCAGCTCAGCTTTCAGAACTTCATGGAGAACATAAAAACAAAGAATGTGTGTTTATGCACCATCAAATCTGGTTATAATGGAAGTCAATCAGGCAAAAGCTATTAACATTTAATTAGGGGGAAAATTTTAAATCTAACATGCATCAAAGCCAGTGTTGTCACTAATCATTCACATGTCCAAGACTGTGATAAAAGGGGGAAAAATCCAGTCCACAATTACTTTTTATATTAAAAATACATTCATGTGTTTTTTTTCATTAAACCAATGACATTTGGTCCTTCACAAAAAAAACTGCCATTTTCTAAACAATTTAGTAGTTTTGATCAGGACTGAGGTTGATTAACAGATTTATGCAAAAAAAAAAAAAAAAGTAAACAAAAATGTTAAACTATATTTATTTGATGCATTTTTTACAGCAGTTTTATTCATCCTGAACAAAACAAAAGGGTAGATTTAAACAGTCCATAAGGGTTAAGTCCTAAATGACTCAAAATGACCTTTACATAGGACCTGAAATTAAACAGCGAATCTATAATTTATTCCGACAGGCATCGCTGCTTTAAAACAATTTTAATAAATTTGTTTTTCTTGTTTCATTACTTATTTGACATTAATTAGACCTCCACGAGGCTTCATGCCAGCACTTAAGAAGATTTCACACTAACAGACAAGAACAGTCGTTCTCAACAGGTTTTGCTTCAGGTAACAGATTGCATTGTAGCTATGCATGTTTATATGGTTATTTGCATTTATTTGCATCTTATTTAGCAATATTTTGCCTGTGTGAGAGCACCTATGACCTATTTCTGAGTCACAGGGCCACCAGCCGCTCACCTGTAGTGTTGAATCCAAACAGTAGAGGGCAGGAGACGGCAAAGGCGAGGACCCAAACCGTGGCAATCATGACTGAAACCCTTTTGCGGGAGCTGTGGGTGGTGTTGTATAACACGGGCATCACCACAGCTGTATACCTTTACAAACACAAGAATTAATCTCAGATGAGTCTCAGGAGAAGCAAGAATACTGATTAGAAAAAGGTCACACTCATTGAAGCATGGCAATATGATTTATGAGATTAAACAAAAACTTTAAATATAGTATCTGAATATATCATTCTTATATTTAAAAAAATGATATGACATAGAAAAAAGTGATATACAAGAGGAACTCAATTTCAGATAAGCTTTCACTATTAAGATTTTTTTCAGAATCTGCCATGAAGCGTTAAAATGAAAAAATTTGATTAAAAATTAATAAGGGAGGACTCTGAAGATAATGCGCAACATCTATACATCGAAAGGGGATTAATTATGCTCGACCCCTTCAGCAGGATGATACTAATGCTATTGAATTAGCTTTTCGTGATCATTTTTTGAAATGTGCTCTTGAATGCCAGTGAGGATAGAGAGAGGTGAACCAGGCCAGTTTGAAAACAACAATCAACCCAAACATGTTTCCTCTCTCTGCCTCTTTTTTTTCTCAACCTTCATCCTTCATGATCAGCCTCTCTCTTAATAAACTCCAACTAATTAAACTTCTGTATGTTTTCACACTCAAGCCATGCGGTTAAAATTAAAACGAAGACCCCTGCTTGCTCTATGTATGAAGGTGTTAATGATGCACCTGTCACTGAGAGCATATTAAAGGATTATTTCGGGTTCAGTAAAGCTTAGTCAACAGCATTATTGACGTAATATCGAATTACTTTAACCTCGTTTGATGTGTTTCACCAATATGACCACAAATGTAGGAACTTGGGGTATATTTGAAGTCACAGTGCGGATGAGCGTAACCAAGCTGTATTTGATGTCAAAGTTTGATTCGTTTTAACAATGTGAATGTTTTTGATCTCTAGTGTGCATTTGAAGCAACAGATACAGAACAGATCTTTTGGATAATGTGCAGAAATGGGTATAATGTGTTACACAGAAGCACCTTACTATGTTGTAAACATTTTCTGAGAACGCAGTGATGTAATGCACTAAATTTTAATTTTGTGTACTTCAATCACAATTATTAAAGTCAATATAATTAAAAATTTTAAATTATAAACAAAGTGTTAAGAAAAAATAAATAATGACATGCCTTTTAAAATAACATTTAGCATGCTGGTGTCAGGTAATGAGAATGCAGCTTGTATGTTCATCAATACTGCTTTTAAATGTATTCAGAACTTATTTTATTGTAAACCACCAGCATATATATATATATATATACACACCATACACTCAGCAAACAATGCTGTGTATAAATCACTGTCTAGCCACAGATAATAGATACTTTTTAGAATGTGAAGTTCCAGAAATGGATTAAATTGTTTGGAATTAGATTAAGATTATAAGCGATTTAATCCTTTGTAATAATTTTGGAGTCAATATTAAAGTACTAAAAGAAGTCTAAATTTGAATTTTAAAGTAACATTAAAGTAAAATAACTAGAAATATAATTACTTTTTATTACATCCAGTAATTAGTAATGTAGTAAAGTATTCAGTCGTATGTAATCGATTACTTTTTTGTGTAACTTACACAACACTGATAATGTGAATTATGTTTTCTGAACTAGGATGTGCATCTGAGTTTGTACATTTTAATTTAGATGACATGAACATTTATGAACTCATCTAATTTGACATTAGAGTCTGTGTGAATGATGTAAAAAAATTCTGAAACATAAAACATACTGTAAATGACAAAAATACAGGATCCATTTTGTCACCCTATGATCAAGAAAAGTTTGATTTTGATGTTATATTCTTGTGACTAACCTCCGTTTTGTTAGATCAGGAGCTGTTCATTTTGTTGATGTGCTCATTGGATTTCAACAAATTGTGGGAAATGGCTTTTTTACACAGACCTGAATTAAGTAATAAAATAACAATAAAACAAACCTTTTACAAAAACAAACCTTTTACAAAAAGGTTTGTTATTTTAAGAACGAATCACTGAAATGCTCTAAAGTGAACCAATTTTCTTTAATAAATCAATGCGAAAAGGTTGCTTCTTTGAAAATTTTATTTTTAAGACTGCTTGAATGTTAAAGGTTCTTTAGCCAGCATACAATGACAAAAGTAATCCGTAACAATAACTGTAAAGAAATGGCAGCTGTGGTTGCCAGAACTTTACCATTTAAAAACAATTGTAGAAACCATACTTTTTACTGTAAACCACCATATTTCAATAATTTATATTATTATACACCATCGTTTTGAAGTATGAACATTTCCTTCACCTGAGATAGCCTTATGATGAACCAAAGCTCATTCCAAACAACTTTTCCCAAAAGCAGAAAAACACATTATTATATAGAAGACACTCAGGGCCCTATCATACGCCCAGTGCAATAAGGCACAAGACATGTTTGACGTAATTTGTTGCTATTTTCAGACCAATGCAACACTAATTTTCTTGTTTTGTGCCATGTTGTTTAAATAGCAAATCTATTTGCGCCACTTTGTGGACTCATGGATGTTCTGGTCTATAAAGGAGGTGTGTTAAGGCGCATTGTTGGTGCGTAGCTGTTTTGAAAAACTGAAATAGACTGCACTGTTGACCATCTAAAAGTAGATCTAAAGTCCAGCGCAAAGCGCGTTAGTTATGTGCCTATGCAGGTCCAAAATGCTTACACATTGCTTAATACAGATTTACAGCAATACAAAAATATCTTTATATATGTTTACAAATTATTATTTTGTACATAAATATAAAACCACCACCTGTTATTATGATAAAGGTTGTTTAAAGGAGTAAAGAGTCAAAGTTAAATAAAGAGAAAGTAAAGAGGCCGAATAGAGTTCAACTGTTTTCTCGCTAGTGAAGCGTTCTGTATTTCCACTTACAAAGTCCACCATGTAAATTGCAAATGCACTATGGTGTGATGCAACTGACTCTTAAAGAAAATGTGAGATTATTTAATGCCTGCTATGTGTAAAACACACCCAAACTGTTTTATGTATTAACATTTGACATAACATAAAACTTTAATGTACATCACTGCTAAGAAAAAAAATAAATAAAATGAACCATAGCAATGTCAACAAAAAAGTCTTAAAAAGTGTCATGTAAAGAATTCTGGGCAAGTCAATTTATAGTTATTAACCATATTTATTTAGTTAATGCAGTTAGGAATTTTTACTGTAACATTTTTACAGCATTTTTTAATGAAATTATGTAATGTTTTACAGTGTAATCTTTTGATAAAAACATCCACAAACATCAAGTAGAGATTTAAGATCTCCCTACCTGTCGATACTGATGGCACACAGGTTAAGTATGCTTGCGGTGCACATCATCACATCCAGGGTCACAAAGACATTGCAGTACAGGCGACTGAAAAGCCAAGCTCCGCCGACCACCTGCACAGTCACAACAGGGTCATACAAAGACACTAAATGCACCAAAAATGTGAAAGATGTGTCTAATTGAATGATTCATTTCTAGCCTCACTCCAAGCAGGGAGAAAACTATTTTCAAGAGTCCCAGTTTTTATCCCACACAAGCTTTGCAAATAATGAGTGCTCAACGGGCAAACAGACCCCTGGTCTATCTCTCAGTGGGCCTATAAGGATAACACCCATCCTAAAGGCAAGGGAGGTATAATAAGGCTCTGGCTGAGATGAATGAACTGCATGCTGCTGATTCAGACCGCTAGTGCTGTACGTCATGACAGGAAGATCTTCTTTTCTCTCTTTCTGGCACTAATCAAGAGCAGCACAATGCCGCCTACTGCAACCATTCACCAGAAGTGCGGCCAAATTTAACCGAGCAGGAATGCTGTCTCTGAATGAAGGTTTTTAACAGTGAGCCACTAAGAGGAAAAGAAATTTGATATTACACTGTGAAATTATACTGTTGTTTAATGCATTCAAATTTTATTATATTTGAAAAGCGTTATTCAGGTTAAATGTAACATCTGCCAATTTAGGATGCAATGTTAAAATATATTTAACAAGATCAAGAGCTTTGAGAATTATAGCATTGAATATATACCTGCTGTTTTCCATTTAGGGAATAATGAACTGAAGCCTTTCACTAAGGGAGTTTGAGGATATTGAACAAAATGTGATTTTACAGATACACAGACTGTGTAAATTCATAGGGTCACACACCTGATGCATTAAGGCACAAAACGTGTTTGGCGCGATTTGTTGCTATTTTCAGACCAGCGCAACCCTAATTTTCATGTTTTGCACCACATTGTTTAAACACTTTATGGACTCATGGGCGTGCTGGTCTATAAAGGCGATGTATTAAGGCACATTGTTAGAGCGTTGCTATTTTAAAATAGGCCGTGTCATTGATCAACTAAAAGCTACTCTAAAGTCCAGTGAAGAGCACGTCAGTTATGCGCTTACACACTACCTTAATACACACAGGATGTACAGCAATACACAAATATTTTTACATATGAAAAAAATAAAAGGATTAAAATGTTACAAAAATTATTATTTTCTACATAAATATAAAAACTACTGTATCCATGCCTTCTTCATTTCGGGTGGCTTTTTTCAGTTTACTCATGACAATTTGCATTAGAATAATAAAATTATTATTAGAAGTATTATATATTATATGCATATTTTTATATTTTTTTAATAAAAACTAGTTTAGATTTGTCTACCTGTCGAGTTTTGGACATGTATGCATCACTATGTGGGGCATAAGAACAGGACGTGTGTTTAGATATAACTCAGTTTTTTGACCAAACTTCATTAATATTGATCATTTATTTATTTGCTGGATATTAGAACTGAATTTAGACATAGTTTTAAGACAAATCTTTGTGCTTAACAAATGAACCTGAATATGTAGGATAATGAATGTATTCAGTGGAGTGAGTGCAACATTGATTCCGTATTCTTATCCTTTTTCCGTCCTTAAAATAGCAAAAGTGGATTCGGACACGCCCTTAATGCTTTTGCGCCGTGTGCTTTAAACTTTGCACCTACATCGTTAAAATAAAGCCTTTAAAGTCAGCTTGAACTGGAAGTTGCTGAGACCTTTATTTCAGTTATGTACTTCCGACTGAAATGGAATATTGAGTAGGGGCGGGGCTTTCTGTTTGCACATCATTCCAACCCATGCTCATTCTGAAAATGTACTGCTACATACATTTCTGGAGAGCACTAAATACATCCCAGGAGGTAAGTTTTTGTGCAGTTTTTGTTTTGGTGAATCCACCAAAGGCCGCTGTGTATGCTTTTTGAGATCTCAAATTTCTTTACTAGTGCCATTCGTACATAAAACCACCAGAGGATGTCGACTGACTGAATGACTGACTGATTGATCGACTGACCCACCCTCCTCCTTCCCTAAACCCAACCCACAGTTTTAAAAAGCAGTCTAGAAAAAGAAAAGCCTTTATGTGATTTTACCATGTTTTCAGATTTTACCACATTATTACCCTGTTATTTACTTGTTAATTATATTTTTTGGTTTCTGTTTTTGTTTTACCCACTTTCTGGAACCATTCTTCGCCGGACTCAAACCCTTTCATCGTCGTCAACTCCTCTTAAGTCTTAAGTCTGCCGATGTACATGGCGAACTAACTGGACAAACTGGTAACAGCAGTAAAGCCTTCCATACGGGGGTAAGCGGTCAGCTGCTAGCACGAAAAGAAACGCAGTCATACCGCCCCGTATCATTTTTTTAAAGATTAAATGCAGCCATCCATACTTCTGGCTACATAATTTGTGATCTCTAGAAATGTTTATAGAGCTACATTTTCAGAATGAGCCTATGTTGCATCATTCCCACGGTAAGAGGAGTGTGGTGAAGAATATTGTGGCTGAAGCTAGCTAAATATTATTTGATCAATTAAAAAATAACAATGTGCAAATAAATTGATTTCACATGGAAATGCTCTTTAAATAAATTGCTTTTATTGGTTATTTAAACAATGGGCAAAGATTTGTGTTTTGTTTCTTGTGTCTATCAATAATTGATGAAGAAAAATGACTTGAAATCTTTTCTCACTGAAACAGATTTCCCTTGATTTTTCTGTTGCTATATTGTTTACCGGGGGCTAAATTTTAAAAATTCTCTCATTAGTTTTTCAGTTTAAAATTTTAGTTTTAAACCCTTTTTTTTTTTACATATTCTTAACGTTTTAAGTTAAGTAGGCTGTACACTGTTAACAATTTCATATAGAATCCTATTGACAGTAGTTCGCCAGTAACTTACTGTAAATCAATTAGTATTTACATTTAGAGCACCATTAATCTAGCTGTATATGTATGTACAGTATTGTATAATTTTACTGTAAATATACAGTGATTTTCACAAGCTTTAAAATACAGTAACATACAGCAAAAGTAAAACACAGTTACTATTACTGGTAAATAGTGTTTAATTTGAAAAAATCTGTTAATGGTGTATAAACATATTTGCAACATAGGTCAAATGGTCTGAAATTAAATTAAGCGTACATTTAGCCATATTTTGAAATATGTTGCATTTATAACATTTTACATAGATCAAATTCAAATATAAACTTGTTTGTCATTTTTATATTTCCATGCATCAGATTTTCGAATGGGAAAATTTATTGTTTTTTTCCTTAAACATGGTAAACTACAGTAGTTCCTAGTGTACTTACTTCCAAATAAACTGCCCAAGGCATGACCAGTGAGGCGACCAACAGATCAGCCACTGCCAGACTGACCACCAGGTAGTTGGTGGTGGTCTGAAGAGCTCTCTCTCGAAGCACAGCAATGCAAACCAGAACATTCCCAAACACGATAGCCAGGATGAGCAGGGAATAGAGCATGGCATAATAATTCCTCTTCGCTTCTTCAACGCCTGACGCTGGGCTGTAGTTTCCCCCAGGGGTGAATGAATGCTCAGAGTCATTCCAGAGCCATTCACCACTGCTAAACATTGCCATAAGTGTGGAAGATCTGGAGAGGGTGGACAGATTTTGACTTTTGCAAAATAAATGCTTGACAACATGCAGTGTAACATCTTTGTACATCTGTTTGAATCCTTGTGTTTGTCTACTGACATCTCTGAATTTTATATTCTGCAAAATTCTCGGTAAACAATTCACTGCTCAAGATGACATGCTGCTTGCTTGGTGACTTGAGACACAGGGCAGCTTTTATAACGTTGAAATGTCTAGTTATTGATAGCAGCTATAAAAAAAGTCACAAATATATATTTTATGAAGATTCATGGTAAGCAATGCTCAGGGTAACCTGGGTTTGCAATATCAGATTCACCATAGCTTATCCAGTTCAACTCTTTATATTTTTATTCCATTAATAAATTAAAGCTAACAAAAAAAGAGCATTTAATTAATTTAAATATTTTCTGGAAAAAAATCTTGAATACTTTTTGCAAAGATTTTAAGACACCCATTGATTCATTAACATATTCATATTTATTTATCCCAAATCATAACTAAATAACTTTAACATAGAAATAAGATATTTCAAAACACATTAAAGATCACAATATCTAAAAGTTGTATAGCTAATTCCTCAGTGATTACAATAAAGTCACACAACTCACTGACGCACGAAAAAAAAAATCATGGTTTTGATGATCTGCACAAAAGCGCCTTGAAAGCCAGAGCGAACGCGTGCATTTAATGACTCTGTTCTGGATAACATCTATAACCATCTATCATTCAGTGCTTCATTGAACCCCCTGAATGCCCAATTTACGATGTGTCTACCTGTTAAGCTTCTCCAGCGAAGAACCGAAACAGAACCCCATCTGAACGCACTTTCCTTGAGGTTAAACTTATCGGTCCAGTCGCCCTTCGCCGTTGCCGCTGTGGAAGGGACTCCATCCTTACCGCGTACGCAAAACTTACTAATACACAGCTCCAAATATGCTTACTCGCGACGCTTTTGAGCATTGAATGATGCCCACAATGGTTTCGCGCACAGCCAGATTCGCAAGGATGGTTACAAGCTCCGCGCCATCTCCAAAAGCTCCTTTACGCACGAAGCGTCCCTGCTTTCATTAGTACAGTGGTTGGTGGTACAGCAAACATGTTTTGAAGGTAATCCGGGAAGGTGAAAGAACTAAACAGAATCTCAAAATCCCCAATTGTACATCATGTGGGAACTCTAAAGGTATTCGCGTTCCTCCGACGTTTTCCGAAGGATGTCTACGCTGTTCGCACTCAAGCTGTGATCATTAACGACTGTCTGAAAATAGCTGTTACCTGTGACAAACCCAGAAGACCGAGCCACCTCTAGCTGACCTGCTGATTAAACGTGTTTCTAGTTTATAAAAATTGACTGATTATGAGTTTTGAGGTTATATTTGGGGTTCCAGGGCTAGTGGTTACAAACCTGGCGAATGTTTTCAAGTTTATTTTTTATTGTTCATACACTTAAAAAACGGCATAACAAAAAAAATAACAATTATGTCCATCACTGTATGAAAGAAATAGTGAAAACCTGGGATAAACCTGGTCAAACATCTGTGACAAATTGTAATTGTTTAATTGCAAAATAAAGTAATTTGTTTAAATTGATCCTCTTATTAACTTCTCCTTAATATACTGTAACAAAAAATAATAATAATACATCAACTATTTAATAAAAGGTAGAGAAAATACAGTAAATAAACAATTCTGAAAGTTTCCTTTTATCAAACTATTGTTTTTAAAATTATAACAAATAAATCTAAAATAAAAATATACTTTAAAAAAATTTTTTTTTTCACTTTTCTTGGTATTTGAAACACGCAGCAACACTGAACTTGCAGTTGGATTTTGGACTCAAAAGGTTGTTCATGCCAAGAATAATAGATTAACTGTAAACATAACTGTGATGATGTCAACCTTAATGTATTATATAGAGCACAACAAGACTGATATTTGACTTGGCCATCCCTCATTAAATCAGCTTATTTTAAAAGCACTTGTTTAGTAATTGTGATGCTAGAAAAAAACTACATTACCCATGATGCTGTACAGAAAATGCCATCAATCAGAGATCTGCAGCAATCAAAGAGCAGCAAAAGACAAAAGTAATGCTCAACCATAACTTCCAGCTCTCCCAGAAATAACATGTAAGTAGAGTTTGACTGAATCAACCTGCATGTTTATAGACCTATTGGATGGAGTTACGGTTTGGACCACCTAGCTCCACCCATTGTGTCCAATGAGTGGGATAGTTCAGTGCATGACTGTTACACTTTAATGAGGACTTGGAGAAAGTCCTTCAGAAGCAGTTAAAAAAGGAAACTGATGCACTTTAAGTCTTAAGCTTTTGGATTCTGTTTCAGTCCAAAGACATGCTGTAATTGAGTAAACTAAATTTATCATATTGAATAATTGTGTGAATGAGAGATTGTAAGAGTGTTTCTCAGTGCTGGGTTGTAGCTTGAAGGGCATTTGGCACATAAAACATATGCCAGAGTAATTGGCAGGTCATTACGCTGTCGCAACCTCTGATAAATCAGGGACTAAGCCAAATGATATTGAATAGGTGAGTAATAGTCAGACATCATATCTAAAACAAGGCTAAATTTAGGTTGTCATTTTAATAGACGGCAAAAAATAGTCTAAACATAGACTAAAATTGACAGGACTGAATTACTACACATGTGAAATCTGTCTATTTGATGACTAGTCTAGTTTTTTTGGACTATTGTTAGACGTTTGTTAAATTTTCATTGACACCCCAAATTTAACCTTGCTTTAGTAAAGACAGTTGTTTACACTTCTATTAGACATCTTTTAAGCAAAATTGTTTGGTTATATTTAACCCAAATTTATTTTAAATCAAATTTTTTACAGTTATTTTGATAGATTTCTTTGATGTGATACTGGGGAAGTTTTTAGTCTCTAGATGGCGCCCACGTTATACTTTTAATAACACAATAAACACAACAGCTGCAAAAAAGAAAGAAAGAAAACAGCAGTCAAGAAAGCACCAGACTCTGCTTGCATTAATGTTTAAGTTCAGAAAATTCACTAAGGTCATTGAGGTTATAAACTACATTACTATTTGAAATATATTCAAGACTCAGTTGTTATAGACAGGCAAAGAAATTAGATGTCTAATTTTTAAAGTTATTTCAATGAAAAGTAATTACTAACTCTTATATACTGCCCTTTAAATCTTTTAGTTGCAAAATAGCGTTGGTCCAGTAGATCCTCTTATACTGATGAAATATGAGACATAGAAAAAATACCCTGCTGAAAAAACAGCTTAAACCAGCATAGGCTGGTTGGCTGGTTTTAGCTGGTCAACCAGGCTGGTTTTAGAGGGGTTTGGGCCATTTCCAGGCTGGTTTCCAGCAATTTCCAGCCTGGTCTTAGCTGGTCAGGCTGGAAAATGACCAGCTAAAACCAGCTTGGCCAGCCTGGTTTAAGCTGGACATAGCTAGTTTTGGCTGGGCTTCCAGCCTGGCTAGGCTGGTCATGCTGGTTTTAGCTCCCAGCCTGACCAGCTAAGACCAGGCTGGAAATGGCTGGAAACCAGCCTGGAAGTGGCCAAAACCCCTCTAAAACTAGCCTGGTTGACCAGCTAAAACCAGCCAACCCTCCTAGGCTGGTTTCAGCTGTTTTTTTCAGTAGGGGAGAAGGCAAAAAGGACCAATTAAGTGAAACAGACATTTGGAATAAGGAGAAAGCATGAAACTAAATAGACACTCCAGATATATTTACAGTAGCTCTCTTGTGCCAAACAAAAAAAATGTTTTGTATTTTTTATTTCACAAAGCAGATCATTGGTAAGGACCCCATTATGAAAGACATGGACATTTATCATAGTTTGTTCTCATCACTCAGTGCAAAACAAGGTTCCAAATCCAATACCTGGACATCGACTGCTTACAGTATGTCTGATAGACTGCCTAGCCTATTACTCCAAATGTAATTTTCACAATAACAGCGCTCTGTAAATTGACACTCAAATAATTCTCTTCAAGATGAACGAGGGAAGGTCCATTGATTTGAGTGCAGTCTGATGAAAAATGTGCCAGCCTTGTTTTGTGTTCGGTATCACTATGACAGCTATTTACTGAAGTGTAGCAGAGCACATCCAAATAACCCACAATGAAATGAACATCTGAGCACCTGCTGTGACCGTGAACTCCTGGCCATAAGAATAAAACCGCCTTTATTTTGCCTAATTGCATTATCGCCCCCTGGTGGAAACAGAATGTCAAAATATAGACAGAAGAACAACGTCCAAAGCTATTAAAATAATTTTAAGCCGTTTAATACGAAACCTTTTCTTCCAATTTGAGTACATACATTTTTCCTTAATGGCTCTTTTGATATTATGTTGACAATCAGGTTTTATAGTTGGTGGGAAACAGCATAGTTAAAACACTGCTTTTGAAACAATGTATAATACTATGTCACAATTGTATCCCATTTACATCTCTTACATTGAAGTGCAAGCAGAGAGTACACAAACTGATCTGTTCATGTGACATTGATACTTGTTTCATTCCTCAATTTCTTTCCCAAAGGCAACAACAACTCTTTTAAAGCTTCCAGAAATAAAACAGTTGTGGCATGGGGAAATTAAAACAGGTCAATTAAGCACATTTGCAAATATACATTCACTTTGGTTTTCACAGCCCAATGATTTTAGTT